GGGGGGGGCGGCTTGTTTTACAACGTCGTTGCCAAGCGACGAAAACCCAACCCCGATGGCCAAACACCGGGGCTCGCGGGGGATAGCTTTACAGAAGCTACAGTTGCTGATGCTTCACTCTGTGCGGAGACATGACCGAAAAACCATATCGGTGCGAAGGTACGGTTATGTGTGACGAACGGCTGTTGTTGCACGTGTTGCAGGGTTTCTTTTTTTTGGCGGATGAGCTAAAAGGATCGACCAGCACCGTAAGAAGGGGGTCATCATTTTTTCTAGATTCTTTTTTGGGTTGTCCCTTTTTGAGAAAAAAGACAGCCCAAAAAAAGACAGCTTAACAAGTGGCCTAAGGCATGCAAAAACACGACCACACCCCTTCAAACCCCCTTTCCTGCCTCACCCGAGAGGGGGTTTCCCCGCGGCCAGAAGGCGTTCGTTCATGAGGGACACCATACCCGCGAGGGCAGGGGCCGAGGCGGACGTGCCCCCGACCTGCTCCACCCTGCCGTCGATCACCACCACGAAGTTGTGCCCCACCGCCGAGATGTCCGGGAACCCCCTGTGATTGTATTTTTCAGTTTCAAGGGTTTTCGGTGTTTTTGTTGGTCTTTTCGTTGGAAATGACGGAAGTCGGGCCGATGGCCACAAACCCTCGATTGGCTAAGCATATGTCGGTGTGAAAACGCGTGGACCAGCATCGTGTCTGTGTGCACTCGGTATGTTGATGCACACGGTGGCGGAACGTTTACGTCCGGTGCACAACGAGCTATCGAAACGCCGACCGTAGGGCTTTCCCTGCCGTGTCTCGGTGCAGGCCTCCGCGCTTGCAAAAAGTATTGCCAGTTGGTTCGTTCTCAACAATTTTTGAAGCAATCAATGTAGCTGCTGTCATCATACACATGTTACCACCTCGTGCGCTTGCTTCTCACGGAAGGGAAGCCTTTTATTTTTTGTACATGGATAGAAGAACGTCTCAATGAAGACCCAGTCCAGACCCTCTCCGCAAAAGCCATGCCATATATGCCAAGCTGCAGTTTTGCCTGTTGCAGCAGTCGTCAGAAGGTAGTAGACATCACACCTGTTGGTGCTGTTGAAAAGCCCAGCGTCAGGCGCTGCTGTCGAGGCGGCGTATCTCTGGGTGTGGGCGGCCTGATAGCTTGGAGCGCCGAAGGTCGTCGAGAATCCGCCGCCGCCGTCAAAGCCTCCGGTGAACTTGTTTACGGCCGTCTGCGGGGAGTAAGTGAATGAACGAGCGAGTGACAGAGTGAGTGAGTGGGCGAGGGAGTGAGAAATGGAGTGTGTGAGGGGGAAGTGAGTGAGGGAGGAAGTGAGGGGGGGAGTGAGGGAGGGGGGGAGGGAGTGAGGGAGTGAATGGATGGTGGGTCCATTCAGTGGTGGCGGTGGAGCCGGCAGCAGCAGCAGCAGCAGCAGCAGCAGCAGCAGCAGCAGCAGCGGAAGGGATGACAGACGCCGCACAACCAGCGTCGTCTTGTTTGCATCACGACAGACACAACCTTCGCGAAGGCACCACGGACAGACATAGAGAAGGGGCAGGGGCGACGTCGCTGCCGCCGGTACGTGATACACACACTCGATTCCATTGCTTCCCGTCACCAGTACTAAACTAGTGTCTTGTCGGGTGCAGCGTGAGCATCATCGATATATATCATCATCGATCAAACCACAAAAAATCGTGGGCACACGAGGAGCACGCACGGCTTGCGGAGGCGGCGACGCCGACAACACACTAGCCAGTCCAGTGACAGAACCCACCGCAACGAAAGCGGCAAGATACGGCACTATCGAACGACCACGGTGTGTATGTATCTAACACTACACACAGATAAACGAAAATTCTCGACAACGACAGCCGACGAGACCCTCCGACGCCGACCAGCACCAAACAGGGCTGCCATGCCTATGCTTACGACACATGACAGTTATCATCGAACTCACTACAATATTCTACAAACGAGAGCGACGGCAAAGGCGACTATTCTTGCAGGTTTTTCTTCCCAGTCACCTCGGCGGCAAAAGAGTTGCCCGGGCCGAGAAGATCCGACTGGAGGCACGACCCTGCGAGGTCCCAAGCAACCTGCATGCACCAACAGCAGAACCGACGCACCAACGGGAGGCACGCACGAAAAGTATCCGTTGGCAGGCTACAGGTAAGATAAGGACAATTGGACGTGTGCGACGCGCGCGAAGTAGGTACCACGGAAAGAGAAGTATTGCTTCTTCGTTCATGAAAAAAACAAACTTCGCGCGCGTTCAGGGCTTCATGAAGCTTTCAACAGTTCCCGTTTCGATGGGTTGTTGTTCTTGAGCGAATGAATGCTATTGGAAGATCAATTCATTGCAGCAATCCTTGTTGCCATCCGACAAGGAATCACCTGTTGGAAGATATCTGTAGGCATGATATTGGTAGGCACGACATTTGTAGGCACGGGACAAAAAAATAACATGCTGGGAACGGAGGGCAAGCGTGTCGGTCATGCAAACGCATGCCGGAGTCGGTAGGCCGTAGACCTCGCATTCCTGGTTTACCATGCCGGGGCGGAGCGGTACGCCGGTTTTCCGCCGGCCCCGCCCCCTCCGGTGTTTGCCATCGGGGTTGGGTTTTCGTCGCTTGGCAACGACGTTGTAAAACAAGCCCCCCCCCCCGGTCCCCCCCCCCCTGGTGTTTGCCATCGGGGTTGGGTTTTCGTCGCTTGGCAACGACGTTGTAAAACAAGCCCCCCCCCCCGGTCCCCCCCCCCCTGGTGTTTGCCATCGGGGTTGGGTTTTCGTCGCTTGGCAACGACGTTGTAAAACAAGCCAATTTACTTCGTGAACTCGGCAACCAGGTTACCGGTTTTTTTTTTTACCTCCGTTTTTTTTTTGGCGGTAACAATAATGGTGACCGAGTAGATCATGTTGTGCGGGGTGGAGAACCCTCGCTCCGCGCAAGGGGGATGATCGCACCACGTTGTGT